GCTGCAAACGTCTTCTGGTTTGTAGTCCTTTGTAAGAAAATATGTACTTATGTATGTATTATAACAAAAATGTTGAAACTAAAAATAGTGGACAAATCGTATCCAATTCAAAAGCTAACTTCCCTTTAATATGTTCGTCTTTAAAATGGTCCATACAAATTCTCCACGTTTTTGGTTTAAAATCTTTAGATCGCCGGCAAAACTTCAACCATTTTTCTTGCTGTTTCGGATCCTCCGGGAAACGGAAAAAAGCTCTTTTTTCAGACGGGTCCCCGCGTTGGCTTACACAATTCCACACCGCACACTGCATTGCAATTTTTATTCTATGTAAATTTATTTCATTATAATTATCTTTGAAGATGCGTAAAAAAGCGTTACGGAAATGAGATACTCCTAAAGATTTTGGTAAGATTTCGGGAACTTTGGTTTGCGGGGTATTAATTTTTACCATGCGAGTACATGTGTGTAAATTCAAAACTCTAAAGTCGTTTATCTCGAGTTCTACTTTTTTGAGTTATGACACTATTGAAGTAAATGAATAATATTTACTTATTATTTTGCTAGTAGCTACATACATATGTATGTATATACATACATAATTATAAACTCACAAGTCTAAAACTGATTTCTTTTCATACAACCGCTCCTCAGTGTTAGGTTCTTGACCTCAAATGTGCCCGAAAGATAAGCAGCGTCAATGCGAAACATCTGTAATTGTGTAGTTCAAAAAACACGTTCTTTCACTACTCATCCACAGCTTCACAATTAGAAGTAATTATGTAATGAAGCTTGATTAGGCATCCCAACAGTCTGTAAAATACATCCAGCTTAATCAAGCTTAATGTTAATAAAATTGATCTTGAGTCTTTTATTTTTGATTGTTGTTTATAACATATGAACGTATAGTTCGCTAATACAACAGTCATAAATTATGCAAAATTTTTAACTAAAAATTAATGGCCTGAGCATTCTACTTAACTCTTAAATTATTACTTGAATGTTAACCACACTATCTATGACCAGACACCA